AATTAGAGCTTTTAAAGGAATGTGATTCTTAGTGGAAATGGGAAAAAAGTGAATAGTTTGCCACTACTGAGAAATCAGTTTCTGAGCTTTCAGCAATTGGTTACACAGCCAATACTGCGACATTCTCTCTCTACCTAAGAAAGCAGAAGAAGACAGACTGCATTAAAAGTAAAAATTGTCAAGAGTCTGGCAGCATTAAAAATCTTTAATAGTTCTACCTCTCTCCATAGTATCAACTGGAATAGAATCCAGAGCTTAATATTCATCTTTTCTGAATTGTAATCGATTTGAATCACAAATCACTGAGCTTACAGTAAAAACTATCAAGGCGATAGATAATAAAGCTTCTCTAAAGAATCCTATTAGTCACTCCCTGGTAAGCACACAACCCAATTCAATGAATTCTGCCCTGACATAACATAGATGACTTATATTAGAAGTGAAAAACCTTTCTTTTTACCAAAAATACCTGACCTCAAGTGAGTGGGAGGAAACAAACACCTACAACATGAGGTCATAAAAGTAGTAAAGGAAGCATTTAGCTTTTTCTCTTCAACAAAATTAACACAAACAGAACAGACATCTCTCTTACACATTCTTGAAAAGACAATAAATGGCAAATTTTCACTTAACAAGAGACTGTATTCTATGATTTTAAATGGAAAAAAAATTAGTTCGAGCCCATTGAAAACTCCCAATTAATCTCTTCAATTATAATTGAGCATTCTTTTTTTTTTTTTTTTTTTTTTTTTTTAAAGAGACTGTCTCACTTTGATGCCCAGGCTGGAGTACAATGGCATAGCTCAATCATAACTCACTGTAGCCTTGAACTCCTGGCCTCTAGTGATCCTCCTACCTCAGCCTGGGACTACAGGGTACATGACCACACCCAGCTTTTTAGTTTTTTAGAGACAGGGTCTCATTAAGTTGCCCAGGCTGGTGTTGAACTCCTGACCTCCAGGGATCCTCCTGCCTCAGCCTCTGGAGTAGTTAGGACTACAGGCACCAGCCACTATTAAGTATTCTTAAATCTCTGTATATAATCCATCAAGGAGTTCTAGTAAAAATACTAATACAAAATCATTTAATATTTAATGAATTTGTTAGTGGGTATGTTTATATACAATACAGATAGAGTATTAGATACAAGTTACAATCCAGTCTACATTACAAACATGTACTGTAAGGCAAACAATAATTTGTTAAAATGTATAATGAATGCAATAAAACTTAACAAAAGAAAACTACAAGGCTTTCTAAAACTAACACCATTATCATAATTTTATTTTTCTCAGAAATCGATAAATCATATGCATAGGGACATATGTATGGCCAAGTTTATTTCTTTTGTCTTTTTGTGTTTTGTCTCTCATTAACCTTTGTCATTTCTATTTTTTCTTTGAGGTAAGAATTTTTCTTATTCTCCTAGGCTCATTTACTTTTCACAGTCTTTTCCATTATGTTAGAAGACATTACAAAACCTTTAAATATGTACAAAACCTTTAAATGTGTAATCACAAAACAATCCTATTGGGAAAACAGCTGATAGTGGAATAAGTCTACAACATATTCTCTCATCTACATTCATTTGCAACTTATGTTTTTGGCCAGAATACATATGTGGGTTTCTTTTAGCAATATTTTAATCTGAATAGGCAATTAAGGTCAAAAATTTCCACGTCATTACAGCAAATATTTAGATAGTAAGAATTCAGATATCAAGGGATATATTCACATTACAGAGAATAAAGAGAAAAGAGTGAATATAAGAATGAAAAGATGAATGAGTATCAGGTAGGAGAAGAAATAAAAATAAAGGGCAACAGGGAAAGAAATGCATAGAAAGAAAAGAAGGAAGTCTTTTAGGAAGCAATGTAGAGTTGAAAGACACCTTAGAAATCAATAAATCACACTTCTTCAATTCACAGATTAATAAAATGAGACTCAGAATTATAAAATATTTTTTCAAAGTGACCCACTAGCACAGTTATCTTAGAATTTAGTTATTCTAATGTGTAAATTTAGGATTTTTTCTAGCATATTAATAAAGCTTCTCCTTGTTTTTATTTAATTCAGTAAGCATGTATTTACTATATGTAAAGCACCATACTCAAGCCTGGGTATATAACGGGATATAATAAAGAACAACACAAACCGGGTCACTGGACTTACAGAACTTAAATTTAGTGGGGTCAAATACCGTATAATCAACATACAACTAATTTTAAACAATCTGATAGATGCTATAAAGATGCAGTACGGAATGTTGTGAGAGCATTTAAAATAAGCAATGGACTTGGGCTTGGGCATGACTACAGCTAGGAGAATGGTAGTGGGGAGGGAAATGTAGGTTTTACCATTTCAAGCAAATGAAACCACAGACCCAAAAGCCATTGAGGAAGAAAGCAGTTCTACTTCACCAGTCTGAAAGGGAGGCCCCTATGGCTGAAGCATAGGGGGCAAGGAAGTAAGCACAGAGACAGGAGGCCAGTGAAACAGGGCAAAATTATGCAGAGCCCTATAAACCAGATATATGATGTTGACTTTTATTCTATGAACAATGGGAAACTCTTGAAGGATCTTAAACAGAAGAGTGACACTACTGATTTGCATTTTTGTCAAGAGGTGAATGGGGGATTTCATTTACTGAGACTGGGAATTCTGAAAGATGAACAGATTGAGGGAGAAGCTGATAAATTCAGTTTGGGTCCCATTCAGTCAGATAAAATCAAGCCAAAATCAAGATCAGTCTGTCTAGGTCCAATGTCTCTTACTTTACCTGGAATTCCTTCAAGAGCTCCACAAATACCTCATTCAAGCTATAAGATGTGTGTACTTTTCTCTGTGTACATATTTCAATGAAAAATTTACTTGAAAAAGATTGGACAAATTAGACAACCTAAATGAACTTCATTTTTGTCATGTAAAAATAGGGATGATAAAAGTTCCTATTCTTGCTGGGATTTCCGTGAAGTTCAAATGTGATAATGCACATCAAATACTTAATAAAGTGCTTCACACATACTGGGAACACAATAAAAGTATTTTTTTAAAATACTATTTGGGCATTGGAAAGGAGGGAAACATGACTATACAGTTCCATTTGAACAAGGTCAAATTTGATTTATATGAAAACATTAATTTAGCTGTATAGTCAGATATCCAAATTCAAATCTGGCATTTGCTATCTTCATGATTCTGGGCAAGTACTGTACTATAAGAAATATATATTTGGTTTTCATCCCTGGTTCTTCGCATAGAACTTCTAAAACCCTTAGAATTTCCAGAGTAACAAGAGTTGGATAAGCATCTTTTGTTATTCATAATAAACCCCTTTCAACCATACCTGAGTTTATACTAATGAGGTGACTCTTGGTGGGCCCCTAAATATCTTCAGGATGGGGGGCTGGTTGCTAGAGGAACCAACTGTGTGATTAGCAGGTTGGAATTTTCATATCCAACTCCCAATCCCAGGGAGGGGATGGAGCTGGAGACTGAATCAATCACCAACGGCCAATGATTTAACCAATCATGCCTACATAATGGAGTCCCATAAAAAACCTAAACGATGGGGTTCAGAGAATTACCATATTGGTGAATCAATCCACATGCCAGGAAAATGGTGTACCCTAAAACTCCACAGGGACAGAAGCTCCTGCCCTTGGGGAGCTTCCAGACCTTGTCCCATTGACCTCTTCATCTGGCTGTTCATTTGTATCCTTCATAATATCCTTTATAACAAACTCGTAATTACTGCAAAATGTTCTCTGAATTCTGTGAGCCATTATAGCAATCAAGTCTGAGGAGGAGGTTGTGAGAACCTCCAATTTGGAGCTAAGGTAGTTGTAAGTACCAGAGGCCCAGGACTTGGCCACTAGCATCTGAAATAGGGGCAGTCTTGTGGGACTAAGCCCTTAAACTCTGTGGTCTGTGCTAACTCCACAGATAGTATCAGAATTGAATACAATTATAGGACACCCAGCTGGTGTCTAGACAGCTGGATAACTGACTGTTGGTATGGAAAAAACCCATATATTTGGTGTCAGAAGTGTGAGTAGGGGGAAAGCTTTTATCTAGCAAGAAATTTAACCTTTCTTAGGCTCCATTTTTTCAATTATGAAAGGGAATAACATCATGGTTTTGTGCGTGTGAGTTTAGAATTTTTAAAATAGATTAAAATTAGAAGAGTGCTTGAAACTGTATAAGTCTGTCTCTAATTTCATGTATGCATATATGAAATAACATGAGCTATTTAAAATATAAAGGTAAACAGTGTAAGAAAGCTCTGAAAGAATTTAAAGTGATACTTCTGTAGAGCAGAAACACCTGAGGTAATGGGTAGAAGCAGGGAAGGTGACTCCTTTTATTCATTTCAGTCCTTATGGTACTGGCTTTGTAACTATACATATCTACTACTTTGACTTAAATTATAAAATTTAAAAATAACATTATCCACTTAAAAATATATAGCTAGGTCCTATCAAATAAAGAAAATAGTTAAAGGGAAGCTCCAAATTAAGTTGATCAATATCAACCTCCTATACGAAAAAGAAAACAAAGATTAAAATACTTCAATGCATCCATAATTAAAACACTCCCAGCCCCATAAGCCTCTTACCACTACACAGCTGATGGCTAAATTTGAGAAATTAATCCTCCTCATCTATTTCTCTAAAAGTATCAATCAGAACAACATATGTATATATTAATACTTCTCAAATGCAATCACCAGAATATAAAACAATGAGAATTCTGGTGGGTGATATTTTTTGCTTTTTAAAGAAAGTTCAATCCAAACTCAAAAGATGAAGGAATGAATAGAAAGGTTGTCATTCCCTCTTAAAATTAAAGCCCAAAAGAACAGAGAGAGAGAGAGAGAGAGAGAGAGAGAGAGAGAGAGAGAGAGAGAATGAGAATGAGAATGAGAATGAGAATGAGAATGAGAATGAGAATGAGAATGAGAATGAGAATGAGAATGAGAATGAGAATGAGAATGAGAATGAGAATGAGAATGAGAATGAGAATGAGAATGAGAATGAGAATGAGAATGAATTAAGCCTCAATTCCTATGGGTATTCAGGTGATTTTCCAAAACTATCTGAATTCCTCTCTAGATCCACAAACAAGAGATTCATTGTGTCGATCTGTAAATTGTATGATGTCATTGAAACACAAGCCCCAGTTGGTATCACAAACAGTTTATGTTTCCAAGGATACTAGGAACTTTAAATATCCTGCATAATCTAAAGCCCAGCCTTCCTAACAATACCAGGGGCCTGCCCACTTTCTCTCTTTAGTCACTGTTTCCAGCAGAGAAAAGACACTGATTTTGTTCCTAATAATTCTTTCAAATAATACACTTGGAAACATTCCACAATCATTCAATTATTCATTTTTATATTTTTGACATAAAGACAACAACAAAAAAGGATTAAGAATTTACATAGCCCTAATAGAGGAGACACTCAAAAGGCCAGGCTGGAGTCCTTTATGAAACTTCATAATATACACTTTTTTAAAAATGCAAGCACATAAATACTTATAATTAATCCTTACATTTATGTTCTTCTGTGTATGGATGTGTTATGGAGAATTCTTTTAATAACACAAAGAAATGACTTTTTTCTCATGTGCCTTTTCTGGAAAAGCTATTTTTCTTTACTTACTATTTGCCTTGAAATCATATGAATTCAGTATGTAAAGTTGTTTATTCTACCTGGAGTAACTACTACAACACAAAACAAAGGCAATGTGTGAGGTAATTATGATTAACTATATTATTGTTAAAGGTCAAACAAGTTTATAGGTCTTTATAATAGTTTCTGACAGAGAATAGTATATAGGGTTAACTTGTTATAAAAGGTCTATAGCTAAACTCATTTTCTGGTATCTTCCCAGAGGAAGGTCTAACTATTTATATTATATTCACATCAAATTTATTTGTGGAATATATTTTACATTAGTATCATGTGCCACTGATGTTTTGGACAGTTTCAGAGTTCATATTTTTCTATTTAGGAGATAAATATTTTAAGCAAGTATTTCTTAAAATGCAGACTGGAAACTGACAAGGAAAACAGAGAATTCAGAGACCACAGAGAGTTCCACGGAGCTGCTCGATGGTGATGGCAGCAGCAGGGAGCTGAGCCTCTGCCTTCTCTCCTTACGGTACCTCAAGGTCAGACAGACAGTTAAAATGCCAAGATTATAAGACAATGAAAGATAATTTTGATTTAGCACTCATATTTCATCAATTTATAAAACACTGAAAATCAATGTAATTACAACAACAACAACAAATTGTCAGGTCTGGGAACAACCCTCACTGACTTTTGATAAGCTCACAACTTTACTGAGGAATGAGGAAGGGAGTAGGCATGTTGGAGAGCCGTCCTTCCAGCCCCAGTGTTCAGCGCACAGCAAGTAGCAGTGAGTGGGTCGCACAGAAGGAATGGAGAAATTTGGGGGAATCAGTCACATCAGTTAATCCAGAAAGTCTTTTATAAAATATTCTCAATATTTTTAGTGAAGTTAGTTAATTAGGATATAGATAGAGTTTGACTCAGGGAAATAAAATAATGTGAAATATTTTATCTGTAAGCTAACTTGTTTTTTCTTCTTTGGAAAAAGTTTTTTTTTTTTTTTTTAAGAGATAGGGTCTCCTGTCACCCAGGCTAGAGTGCAGTGACCTGATCATAGCTCACTGTAACCATGAACTCCTGGACTCAAACAATCCTGCCACCTCAGCCTCCTTAATAGCTGGGAATACAGGTGTGCACCACCACGTCCAGCTAATTTTTTTACTTTTTGCAGAGACAGAGTCTCACTATGTTGCCCAGGCTGGTTTTGAACTCCTGCCTCAAATGATCCTTCTGCCTTGGACTCCCAAAGTGCTGGGATTACAAGTGTATGCCACTGTGCCTGGCCCTTTGGAAGACTTTTTTAAAAATCTTATATGAATCATTGACCTAAGTGATTTTAAAGGCCCCTAGTAAAGGTCAATATTGTTAAACCTAATATGAATTTAAAGTAAATATGTTGAGATATCATTCTAATCACCTTAATTAAGAATAAGAAAAAGAATCATAAAATCTAGCATTATGCTTGTCTCTTCCCTAAAACTAAAAATAAAAGGCAACCTCCCTTTAAATCCATTTTCTAAAGAATAAGATACATCTTTCTCTGGTTTATTATTATATCATCTTTCATAGTCAGGCTTAAATTTCTACCTGGTAAATAATGTTTTTCATGTCATAGTTTGACATAAATTTGATTTAGAGCAAAGTCTAAATGAGAGCAGAAGACTGAATGAGAACTCTACATTTGTTAACAAAAGTCAAGATTGTAGAGAAAAATAAAACTAAAAACATACACACAAGATAAAGATATCAGGCTTTCATGGATCTCCCAATTTGCTAACACTATTATCAAATATATTTTTAAAAGAACAAAATTTATATCTATAATAAGGGCAAAACAAACCTCACACTTCTGGTAATTTATAAGACCACCAAGTCTAAAACAGAAGAATATTTTTCAGTAATTCAAACTGTTAAGGTTGTTTGTGGCTATGCTCTATACTTCAAACACTAAATACAATCGTTAACAAAACAAACACCATTTGTGGTATCAAAACTTAGTCTGCTTAGAAAGATATCTTTTAGTAACAGCTTTATGGAGATAAAAATCACATAATATTTAATTTACCCATGTAAAATATATAATTCAATTGTTTGTATTATATTCACAGATATATGCAATCATCACCTCTGTTGATTTTAAAACATTTTGAAAACCTTAAAAAGAAATTTCATCATCCCTTTACCTATCACCCACCATCCACTCATCCCTCTCAGCCCTAAGAAACCACTAATGTACTTCTTATTTCCATTATTTCCCTATTCTGGATATTTCATGTGAATGGAATCATATAATATGTGGCCTTTCACTTAGCATAATATATTCCAGATTCATCCATGTTGTAGAACATATTAGAACTTCATTCTTTTTAGGGTTGAATATTATTCCATTGTACAGATAGACTACATTTTGTTTACACATTCATCAGCTGATGAACATTTGGGTTGTTTCCACTTTTGGCACTTACGAATAATGCTGTTATAAACATTCATGTGCAAATTTTTATGTGAACATATGCTTTTATCTCTCTTGGATATATATTTTTGAGTGAAATTACTGAGTCATATGGTAATTCTATATTTAATTGTTTGAGGAACTGTCAGGCAGTCTTTTGAAGCAGCTATATCATTTTATATTAGCAAAGTAGAAGCAATATAGAAAATTTCTCTATATTCATAGACAGAATACTTGTTATCATCTGACTTTTTAATTATAACCATCATAATGGTATTATGTGATATCTCATTGTAGTTTTCATTTGGATTTCCCTGATGACTAATTATGTTGAACCTTTTATTGTGTGCTTATTGGCCATTTGTGTATATTCCTTAAATATCTATTCAAATCCTTTGCTCATTTTAAATTGGTTTGTCTTTTTTTATTGAGATGTAGGCATTCTTTATGTTCTAATATGGGATAAAAGAGTTCTATAATATTCTAATATGGGATAAAAGTCCCAAATTAAATATTTGATTTACAAATATTTTCCCCCACCTGGTGAGGAAAACCTTTCACTTTCTCGATGGTATCTTGAGACACACATATTTTAAATATTAAGTTCAAATTATCTATTTTTTCTTTTGTTGCTCATCCTTTTGGTGTCACTTCTTGAAATCCTTTGCCAATCCAAGGTCATGAAGATTTATCTATACATTAACACTTTATAGTTTTACCTATTATGGTTTAGGTTTTCAATCCATTTTTAGTTAATTTTCTACATGGTATAAGGGTCTAACTTCATTTTTTTTGCTTGTCCCTATCAAGTTGTCCCAACACCATTTCTTGATAAAATTATTCTTTCCCCCATTGAATGGTCTTAGTGACCTTATCAAAAATTAGTTGAACTTAACTTGGTTTTACTTCTCCAGTCTCAATTCTATTCCACCGATAGGTCCCTGAGCCAGTATCACCCTGTCTTGATTACTATTGCTTTGTATTCAGTTGCGATATTGGGAAGTCTAAGTCCTCTGTTCTCTTTTTCCCCAAGATTGTTTTGGATATTCTGGGCCTCTTACAAATCCATATAAAATTTAGAATAGGTTTGTAAATGTCTATAAATCAGCTGGGATTGTGATAGGGATTGGATTGAATCTGTAGCTCATTCTGTTGGTAGTGCCATCTTAACAATATTAAGTCTTCTGATTGATGAACACGGGATATTTTACCATTTATTTAAATCTTCTTTAATTTCTTTCAATGGTGTTTTGTGGTTTTCAGAGGTTTTGCACTTCTGTTGTTAAGTTTCTTCCTAAGTATCTTATTGTTTTTAATGTTTTTGTGAATAGAATTGTCTTATTTTTGGATTACTCATTGCAAGTATATAAAAATACCACTGATTTTTGTATTTTGATCTTGTATCCTGCAACCTTGCTGAATTCACATATTTAATAGATTTTTTAGTGGACTTCTTAGGATATTACATACACATGAATATGTTATTTGCAAATAGAAATAGTTTTACTTGTTCTTTTACAATGTGGATGCTTTTGTTTCTTTCTCTTGCCTAACTGCCCTGGTTAGAACTCCCAGTAAAATGTTGAATAGAAGTGGTGAGAACAGACATCTTTGTCTTTTTCATATTAGGGGGAAAGTGTCCAATCTTTCTCTGTTCAGTATGTTAGCTATAGATATTTATAAAGGGCCTTTATCAGTTTGAAAATTCCCATCTATTACTTGTTGAGGGTTTTTATTATGAACGGGTATTGAATTTTGTCAAATGCTGTTTTTGTATCTATTTGAATGATCATGTTTTTGTCCTTTATTCTATTAATATGATATATTACTCTAAGTGATTTTCATATGTTCAAACAACCTAGCATTCCTGGAATAAATCCTACTTGGACATAGCATATAATCCTTAGATGTTGCTGGATTCAGTTTGCTAGTATTTTATTGTGGATGTCCCTTTATTTTTAATAATAATACTCTTCTGCTGTTATTATTTAAAGTCTATTTTCTCTGACATTAGAATAGCCACTCCAGCCTTAATGTGGTTGCTCTTTGCATGATATAACTTCTTCCATCCTTTTGTTCATATTTTCAATTTATTTGTATCTTTCAATCAAAAGTGTATCTCCTACAGAAAACATATATCTCATTCCTATTTTTAATCTAGTCTAAGAAGCTCTTCCTTTTCATTGGATTAAGCCAATCACATTTAATGTTATTATTGACATAAATGAAATTATGCCTGCCATTTTACTGTTTGTTTTCTATGTCTCTTGTTTTCCTTGTTGCTGTTCCTGTATTCTTCCTTTACTTTCTTTTGCATTAAGTATTTTTGAATGAAGATTTCATTTCTTTCATTATTTTTTCACTACATTTCAAAAAAATTATTGTTTACTGGTTGCTCTAGGGATTAACCATATACTTAACATATCAGAACCATCTTCATATTTATACTAACTTAATTCCAATGAGATATACGAATGTTATCTCTATATGGCTCTATTCTCTTTCCCCACTTTTTGTGGTGTTGTCATACAGATTACATGTATTAATATTATAAACCAATAATACATTGCTATAATTACTACTTTATAACCATGTCTTCAGTCCAGTACAGCTGTATTCCAACATACGGTCTTTTGTGCTGTCATTGGCAAATGTTTATATATGCTATGGGCCCAACAATAATATAAATATTGTTTTATGTAATTGCTTTTTAAATAAGTGAAGAAAAGAAAGGAGAAATTATGCATTTATATGATCTTTACTAGAGCTCCTTGTTTTTTCATTTGGATTCAAATTACCATTTAGAGTTACTTGCTTTCAGCCTAAAGAATTTCTTTTAGTATTTCTTGAAAGACAAGTCTACTAGTGACAATTTGTCTCAGTTTTTGTTTATCTAGAACTATCTTTATATCACTCTGATTTTGAAAGACAGCTTTGCTGGATATAGGATTCTTGGTTGACAGTTGTCTTTTTTCCCTCTGAGCACTCTAAGTATGTTATCCATTGTCTTATGGCTTCCATTTTCCTACTGTAAAGTAAGGTGTTAATCTTTTTGGAGTTTCCTTGTAAATGATGAGCTGTATT